AATCAATTAACAAACGGAGACGTAACAGTATATAAAATTGTAACTTAGACTGTTGAGAATTTTATAATATTTATTTTTTAATACTTCTGAGTTGAACAATGTTCCTTAAAGGTATCTGGTGTCAGCTGTCCAGAAGGTAAACAAATATGATACAAGAAACTGAAATTATTCATGGATTTACAAAAGTATGGGAATGACGATGCCATACTCCTTTAAAGGTTACTTTAACTCACCTGTAAAAACTCCTTATAGTAAGACAATGGAAGGATGTCTATTGCTTGGAACTGTGCTTTGATCCTTACTGATGGAGTATCTTTATTACTCAAACTTTTCTCCATCACAACTTGATACCTGTCATAAAGAATTATCAGAAGTTTCTTAAGTAAATGCTGACAATATTAATTAACCACTAATGGAATAACTTTAGCTTTTAAAATCATAGATTTAAGTTGAAATGAAAAAAAGGCGATGTTAACGTAACACAAATGTTCATTTCCAGATAACCCAGTAAATTTACTTCTACTATGAAGCTGTCTGTGGCTGCATATGGTTTAAGTACAAAACCAAGGCATATCTGTCAAGTAATTCAACTTGTACTTATTTTAACTGTTTTAGTAGAAAATCATATATATCAATATAACTGGACAACAAATGCAATATTTCAGTTTTTGAAATCCAGGGAAAACAAAGTGAAATAAATTAGTAGTTTAAAATATGCAGAAATTAGCTAGATATTTTTCTTCACAGAAGCCAAAAACATAAAAAAAAACCTTTAAGATTACTTTTTACATTTTTCTTGTACTAAAAAGACTTTAAAAATTTTACATACTGTAAAATATTACATTTCAATTAAAGAACAAAATCATGAAAGTGTTATTTATCTATGATTATAAAGCATAACACATGGTACACAAAATATAGAAAATAACTATCTCATTATGATTATATACTATAAAATATGTTAATAACAAACAATCTCTGTAAGTGTAAGTCAAACATATTGCCCCCTACCCCGAAAAAACAAGAAAACAAAGTTCTAGAATTATATAATTCAATACAAAGTGATACTAAAGTAAAACAATTAGCGGGATTTGTTTTCTAGATTCAAGGTAGCTCAACTCACCATTTCTCGATCATGTGCCTACTGTTTACATTACTAACATGAATCTGCACTGTACCTGTCACAAAGAAGTAAAAAGAGCATGTAACAAAAACTGAAATGGTGGAATTAGTTAAGAACCATTGACAATTTTTATAATTAACCACACAAATGTAAATACCATATACTATAAGAATGGGGGAAGGAGGGTCATGGCATTTTTTTTTTATTATTATGCTAATAATCTGCTTCACTTTTGATTTACCACATGAACACTTAAAACATTCAAAGTTTGGTACAATTATGTTGTCTCCTGGCAACTAGTTAATTTTGGTATACTTACATCACTTGTAATGTTCAGTATAACATATAAAACACGTAAAACCTTCATCGTCAAGTGTAATATTGACAAAACATAAAACACTTCAAAAATAAAAAAATTACGTACGTGAATTCTGTTGCAAGTGAGTTTAAAATATACCATGAAAACTTTACTATTGTCAATACATGAACAAATGTATGCATATTTGAAGAGTGGTCTGTTCTTCATTGAAAGCATTATCTTTGGGCCATTTTATTTTTATAATGGTTTTGTAGTGATTACTTTACCTCCAAATGAATGTATATGTAATATGTCTAATCATAACAGAATGAAAAATTTGAATGGGGTGTGCTACATACAAACTTAACAAAATAATAACCATGATAATATGTAATATATTTTGTACAACAGATCTGTGCCACATTTGTTTGTTTTTGAATTTCGTGCAAAGTTACACAAGGGCT